TCAAGGAACGCGGGGGGTTGGATGGGGCAGGAGTCCCGGGGGGGGTGGGCCAAAAAGCGCTCAGGATGGGGGCGGTGGCTGAGCCCCGTGTCCCGCTGGGGGGGGGCGAGCGCTCCGTGCCCGTGTCCCGCTTGGGGCAGTGGGGAGGGGCAGCGGCACGTGCGGGCTCCGTGTCCCGCTTGGGGTGGGGGGGCCGGCAGCGCGCGAGGGCTCCGTGCCCATGTCCTGCTTGGGGCAGGGGGGCCGGTGGCGCACGAGGGCGCAAAAAATATCCTTGCGCCGGCATCGGGTCGGGGGGGGGGGCGCCTGAGAGCCGCATCCCCGCAGCTCTGATTGGGCTGGACTCAGCCGCCCGCATTGCTGGCTCCTGTCGGCAGGCAGGCACGCCACCAGGAGCTGCCCCAGGAAGCGCTGCCACGCCCGCCTCGGGACTTTGTGTGCGTGGGGTTTAGAATCCCCCCGCGGACCGCACAGTGAGCCCCCACGGGCGGCATGCGTCCCGCGGGCCGTATGATGTGCAGGCCTGGTCTTGTGGCATACTCGCGACATGTCTGAAAAGCATAAGACGCCATCTGCGGATAATGGCCCCAGTAGTCTGTAGACCGGAGCGACCATAAACATCTGCTTTACAAATGAAGTCATTACACTCTATGCCCAATATACAACGTTGGCATTTTATGTGGAAAACCTCCAGCTTTGCCCACTCTGAGTGGTGCAGTCCCAATGTTTCGCAACCGTACAGCAGTACAGAGAGGATATAGCTCGATTAGATCCTGAACTTGGTTGTCGTGCCAAGATGATGTTGATTCCGTATCATTGTAAACGACCCATGGCAGAGGCTGCAATGCCACACTCAGGCACCTAAATAAATGGCCTGACCTTTCTCAAATGCTGAATACCAAGAACTTCTCACTTGAATCTGCCGAAGCCGTGGCTGTTCAGCTCCTCTGAAAATTAATCCACTCGTTTAGATGCCTGAATATGAATGTTAGTGCCAGACTTTGGACAGTGACATAGGAAGACATTGGCCTGAGCCTATGCATGGACTCTCATCCTACAATCCAGCCCCTCAACAGATACATCCCAGCTTCTGACTGTGAACCATTCAGCTACAATGGGGAGGCCTAGATGCTGTAAGTGAATTAACATGTAATTATAGATAGACAAATAGATAGACAGTATAAGCTATTCTTTCTACCATCTGCCGTACGGATTTGCTCTGTAGAGCTTGCTGTCCCTGTTACTCATGGGTATTTATGTTCCAGAGCCCCACATGAGAGAGGGAAGGATTTCAGGCCCAAGGCCCAAGTGGGGCAGGAAGAAGCACACGCTCACCTCAGTTGTCTTCTTTGCTGAGGTAAGTTTTGTTGACTTGTTGAACTGAGATTGCAGAGCGTTGCTCAGTCCAATATTCTCACAACTGGCAGTGCCCCATATGTATGTCTGGGGGACCTTGCATCCTCATTTCTTGATCTGTAAGTGGGGTGGCCTGGGGTTTATGTAAAAGGCAGGGATTGTGTTGAAACCATAATCATCCAGATACTTCTGAGGAAATCCCTCTGAAACAGTGGAAATAGCGTAGCATTCGGCCATCAGTCCCTCGGTAATTTCCCAGACTGTGACTGCTTTTGATTTCCCGTGAGACGTCTTGAAACTGCTCTCTTTGTTGAGAGGCTGAACCTCTGAAAGTTCGCCCTGGAGAATGTAAGCATTGACAGGAGAGCCGTTGTGTTGATTCCCTAGGGCGCACTGTCCAGCACGCCGGCAGACTGACCCAGATCAGAAGGCCTGGACTTGGTACGTGAACGTAAGTAATATCCTTAGGTAAGTGCAGTGAGGAAGCAAAGGTCCCAGGGTGTGGGTCAAGGAGATGGCAATGGGGACACAGAGGCCCTGTCATGGCACCAATGGGGTCTAATTTGTACTGTGTGCTTTGGTCATCCACTGTGTGATGATCCTCTTCTGTAATGGGCGCCATCGGCCTGGTGTAATGGCTCCAACACCACCCTCCTCCCAGCCTCAGGAGAGGGAGGTGTTCCCAAGGGAGAGGGGGCGTGGCTGTGGCATCCCCGAGGCTTCTCTGCTTTATGCTGGGGGCTGGCCCAGTGGCCAGATGGCCTCCAAGTTGGTGGGGGTGGTGCACAAAAGCGGCTTTCAGGCACATTCCCACGCAGCTGCCAGGATCTGCACTGAGCCTAGGATCTGCAGAACCATATCACAGGCTGGACCTCAAGGCTGGCAGGTTGGCAGATGCTGCACTGAGCAGCAGAGTTACTCTGTATCCTGAGTCAGGAAGCTTTTCTGCTGCTTCGCTGATCAGAGGAGCCTGGTAGTAAAATGAGGCAGGAAGATACACCTGGTTAATGCAAAGACACAGATGAAGCCCTGGAAGCCCGTATTTCCTGGTGGTTAGTCAAAGAAGATCAGGCCAGGGCAATATGACTTGACAGTCCTCAGCAAGGACTCATCAGAGAGACCCTCAGATGTAAAGAGGGAGGAGGTGGGGGATATTGGGTGCAAACTCCCCAGATCCAGTTCCTTAGTCCGGGATC